TGTTTTATTGCTGTAGCTAGAACTTTAAGAGTATTCTATTCAATGTTCTATTGAATAGGTATGGAGAGAGCAGACAACTTCGTCTTGTTTCTGGTTTTAATGGAATTGCTTTGAGTTTTTCTTCATTTAAGTTGATGCTGGCTTGGGCTGGGTGTAAACTGGTTTTATTATGTTGAGGTATGTCTCTTGTATCCCTAATCTCTACAGGACTTTTATCATGAAGGAGTATATGATTTTGTGAAAGGCTTTCCAATATCTAATGAAATGATTGTTTAGGTTTTTTTCTTTTAGTTTGCTTATATTGTTGAATTGCATTTATTTATTTTTATTTTCTAAATATCCCTGCATGTCTGGGATGAAGCCTCCTTGATCATGGTGAATGATCTTTTTGAAGTGTCTTGGATTTAGTTTGGTAATATTTTTATTGAGAAATTTTTGCATTTTGTTGATGAGAAAAATTGGTGTGTAATTTCCTTTCTTTGTTGAGTGTTGGTTTGGGTATCAGGATAACAGTGGAGTCTTAAAAAGAAATTTGGCAATGTTCTTTCTGTTTCTATTTAGTGATAATTTGAGAAGTACTGGTGTTGACTCTCCTTTGAAAGTCTGCTAGAATTCTCCAGTAAATCCATCTGGGCCTGAGGTAGTTTTGATTTGAACAATTTTAATGACTATTTCTCTTTCACTAGTGGTAATAAATTATTTCTCCGCTCCTGATTTAACTTTGGTAAATGATACCCATCAAGAGAATTATGAATTTCTTTGATATTTTCCAACTTTGTGGAGTACAAATTTTTAAAGCTTATTCTTATGATCCTCTGGATTTCCTCAGTGAAACTTATTTCATTAATTCACTGTATTGCTTTTCCTGAGTTTCATTATTTCTTGACATCTGTTCCATTTTTCTATGGTTTCTTTCTTTTGTTCTAGAGTCTTCAGATACGCTATTAACTTGCTAGCATAGGATCTCTCCAGATTTTTCTAATGTAGTCACTTTGTGACTATTAACCTGCCTCTTAGAATAAGTTTTATTGTGTTCTATAAGTTTGGGTATGATTTTTATTCATTTTCATTCAATTCTAGAAAGTGTTTAATTTCTTTCTTGCTTCTTGGGTGTTCTATGTTAATTTAAGTAAACAAGAGTAATATATCCCCTGCCCCCCAGGGCCTATAAGTTCCATGTGTTCTTTAACTAGATCATAATGCCAGACATGAATTCCTTCCTGTGTGTTGGGCCTTAAACAAATCAGAGAGTGATTAGATATCCCAGTAACAAGGTTTGGCATTAATTACAAAAAGTATGCATACATACATACATATATACATACATACATACTTACACACACAAACACACATACATATATATGCTTACTTTTTGTAATTATTGCATATATGTGTATGAGTGTACATATACATAGTGTAGATAATTATTTTAATATTGTACAATATGTATAGGAAAAATTCTTCAAATGATAAAATATATTATTAGATTTTTTTGTATGTATACCATGGACAAAAAATAATCATAATGCAAGGAGTGGAGAGGAGTCTTAGCTTCTAAAGTGCCACCCACAGGTGTGGTCTGGATTTAGCTCATCTGACTGAGGCTAAAGTGCTGGCCACAGGCACTGTCTGGATTTAGCTAACCTTAGACTAGTCTAAGGCACTAGCCACAGGCACTGTCTGGTTTGAGCTCACCTGACTTAGACTAGAGTTATCTGAAAGGATTGAACCCAATTAAGAATTTCCCTCCATAACATTTTGCAGTAAGTAAGCCTATAGGGTATTTTCATAATTAGTGATTGATGTGGGAGGACGCCACCCATTGTAGGTGGTGCTAACCCTAAGCTGGCGGTCCTAGGTTCTACAAGAAAGTAGACTAAGCAAGCCATGAGGAACAAGTCAGGAAGCAGTTATCATCCATGGCTCTGCATCAGCTCCTGCACTGAGCAGCTTCAGTGATGAATAGTGATGGAAAGTGTAAGAAAAACAATTCTTTCTTACTCAAATTGCTTTTGGTCACAGTGTTTCATCACACCAATGTAAAGCATGTGAAACTGAGTTTAGATTTCCATCATTTACATTAAAAAATCCCAGCTCAGGGGAGGTTCAAAGGAGGATTCCTGGGACCTGATGATTATAAAGTCTAGCCAGATGCTTGAACTACAAACTGATTGGTCAACCTTGTTTTAAAAAATATGGTGAAGATACCCAACCTCTCATCTCCTCATTCATATGCACTCATTTATGAACATACACACAGAAAGCACTAAGCACCTCAAAATTGTGTTATCAAGACATTTAAGCAAAACTAAGTATTTAATTTGTGAGGAAACATGAAGCATTTTGTTCTGTCAGTTGACTCTTCTGTAAAAGATTTCAAAATACAAAAGGTGTTACTTAAAGTGGGATTGGGGTAGAGTTCCTTCTTGCTTTAAGTTTAGTTTCAAAATGCCTTGATTTTTTCAGTTTATTTCATATAATCGTTCTTGCTGAGGGTCAAGTTATTCACTGGCCAAATTATTGTCACCAGTTCTCCGTGATTCTGTCCCTTAGCTCTACTTTTCAGACAGTGCTGGCAGCCTTCTGAGTGCTTCATGGGATGGTCAGACTGGTGAAGGTTTCATGTCCATGCTCAGATGCAGGAGAAAACAAATGTGATCAGAAGGGTGAAAAAGTATTAGAAGCTCACCCACCATTTTTCTTGCCATGCTGTTGGCCAGATAAGCATAAGACACTCTCTACTTGTTCCCTCCATTGGTGAGAACTCTCAGGAAGCTATGTTCAATTGTTAATGACTTCATCACCAATGGAGTTTGCAAAGTTTTACTCTTTTGACTCTTATACTCTTCTAGGGGCCCACCACCCAGGTCCTTAGTGAATCATACATGGAAGCTTATTATCAGCTATAAAAGCCTGGCCTTAGCTTGGCTTGTTTCTAGCCAACTTTTCTTAAATTAAATTAAACTGACTACCTTTTGCCTCTGGACTTTTTCTTTTTCCTTTTCTTACTTTTGTATATCTTACTTTCACACTTACTTCATGGCTGTGTGGGTGTGTGCCTGTCATGTTTACTCCATGGCTGTGTGGATGTGTGCCTGTCATGTGTTTACTCCATGGCTGTGTGGATGTGTGCCTGAACCCTGATGTCCTCCTCTCGTTCTCTTGTTGCTCTGCTTTTCCCATTATTTATCCTTTCTTATTTATACTTATTTATAATTTCTCCATTATTTATACTTTCTGTCTGCCAGCCCCACCTATCCTTGCTCGTGCATTGCTATTGGCTTTTCAGCTCTTTATTAGGATCATCAAGTGTTTTAGACAAAGAATTGCAGCTACACAGAGTTAAGCAAAGGCAGCATAAACAAAAGCCACATACCTCAAAATAATAGTCCCCAGAAGACTTGACCTGTGGGTAAGATGTCCTTCTACAGAGTGGCATGTGACAAACACATTGGTGAAGACTCACAGTTCAGTGATGCAAAGGAGGACAAGAATGAGTACAGTGGAAAACAGATGGGATTTATCGCAGAACTGAGAGCCCCGAGCACAGGCCAGTGATTATGAGCTCAGGCTATACATGGATCTTTCCTGGAAGGTTCTAAAAATACAAATTGATTTAATTGGTCTGGAGTTACATATTGATATCTCCATTTCAGATAAAATCCCTGCTAATTTTGACATAAAGCTAAATTTGAGAGCTGTTATTTCAGAGAAACTGAAGGAAGAAATTCAAGCCCTCGCACACTGAGATTTTCAGACAGGTTTGTAGATGAATTGTGTTGAACATGAGTCCCATTTTAGGACCAGGGAACTAAGTGCAAAGGCCGGTGAGCTGAAGGGGTGAAACAAAAGGTCCTGACAGTGTCTGAACAGACACGGCTTTGTGTGTCACTATTTTCATATCTGTGTTCACTCTCTTTGAGACAGACTTTGAGACTCTCTTTGGTTTATCAGAATGAAGCTTCATAAATATTATTCTTACCCTTACTGACAATGTGTAGACCCCATGGTGCTTATTCTTCGTCAAAAGTAGATACTTCCCCTGTTTTGTAGATAAGAGAATTACTACCCATAGATTCTGTTATTTCTTTAAACTCTCAATTATTTAACTTTTTTCCTAGGACTGTGAATGTTTCACCACAATATCATAGTTTACCTTGTCGTATATATGAATTTTCCAGTTCAACATATGATTATTGGTAAATAGCTGCTGGGTTGGGTTTGCGCAAGGAAGGCATCACTTTTCCTTCACACTGAAGCATATATTGCATTGAGAAGTGAGCCTCGGCATTTGCTTTGCAGCTCAACCTGATACTTAACATGTGCTATAAGAACAAGCAATCAAATAAGAGAAGGGGACCCTTTAGACTGATTTTATTTAGAGTTGATCTAATGACAAATATAATGACATAATGACATATTACCTTACCAATAATTTCTTTTTCCATAGGAAGTTAAAATGTCAAAATCGAAATGGTCAATACTGGAGTTTAAATCATTTTCCCCTTATCCACAAACACATATTTGAGTTAGTAGAGAACGTGTCCTTTGTTGTTTCATCCCACTTCTGGCTGTGGTGGTCCTTTAACGAGGACAGGTGATCAGTCTGTGTGGTTGACAATCAGTAGGTGTTCATTTAGAATATTTTCTTTCTGTTGAGATGTGAGAAAATAAACTGAGTCACTGCTGCTATTAACTAGATGGCTTGGTTTTTCATACAGATAACGTTTTATACTGATATAGTGAAAATGAAGGAAAAGCTCCTTCTTGGGCGAAAGTGTTCAAGTAGCCCCAGTGCAGAGTTCATGAAAGCAGCTGTCAGGATCCTTCTATTTTACCATCACCCCCACCTCATGTAGGAAGAAGCCACTGTCCTTTTGAGTGAGTGTCCTGCCAAAGAGTCATTTACAAATAAATGAAAAATGTCACAATCGATTTTACTTCTCCAAGAATACTATGTGTCTGTGTTGCCACAAATTCTCTTTGTTACTCTGTTTTAGATATCTGGCTGGACATCAGAAATTGCTTTTGATGGCTTAGAGCCTCCTCCTTGAGACCTCAGGTAAGCCCTCTATTGGTGACCTTTTGTAAATATTTGTAAAGCCATTTGAATAGCTCGGGAAAATGTAAGCAATACATGGCCCCTCTTCTGTAAATGCTGTCTTTGTCAGCAAGTATTCAGATGGCAAATGCTTACTTCCATATTTACTCACTTGGGAGAATCATCTCATATAGTTTATGATGCTATAGAATTATATTATTATATTCTACATTTTTTGCTAGCTCAGGTTGTTATGGTTAATCTAGTAAATACAGCTAGAAAAGAAACTTGTGAAGAAGGTATGCGATTATGCTTCTCTTGTGTCTCGAAAGTGCTTACTTTATTAGTTTGAATATGTGCCATTTCTATATCTTGGATGAAGCATTACTGATAGACAGTTATTGCCGCAATTATAAGCCATCCCACCAGTACAAACATTATCAAACCATACCAACATTACCAACATTATCAAGAGTTTGCTCTGAGCCATTTTCTGTGGTAAGCAATCATGCGATTTAACTTATGTAAATGTATTACATTGGTACTTAGATTTTGAGTTAATATGGATTTGGAATAAAGATAACTAATTAGTAATTGCTAGCAGTTCTTATGGATATTAAAATTAAAGGAAAATAAATCTTCATATAATTATACTTAAAGAGATGTTCATCAGTGTAATTAGTTATAGACTGTGCGGTCGTTTGAGATCATTTAGTTTACCACTGTTGGTGCAGAAGATCACGGAATGGAACAATTAGCAATATTTTTGTTTCTCTTAGATAAATAAAACTTTCAGCAATTTATTTACTCATTTACCCAATAATCATGGCACCGTATTAAGTGCTACGTACCTTACCTTGACAGTCCAATGGTGAAGAACGCAAAGCTGTTTCTCAATGCCAAAAAAACATTGAAGTGGAAGAAACTATCGTGAATCAAACAGTTTGTTAGTGTGGGCACAGTGTGAGACGTCAGAGGGCACCTCGGCTGTTGTCGGGACTGTCGCCTATGCAGTGACAGAGAAGAGAAGCTGGAAGATGTTACAGCTTGACAAGGAAGCCTAGTATCTAACACACACCCTAACAAGTCACATTTAGGAACTCAGATACAATGGAGAAAATAAGAAGGAGAACCCCAAGATGTCAAGAGAGGCTAGAGAAGTCGTCATAGCTCACTGAACATAGCAGAAAGGAAAAGCACAACATTCTTACTTCACATCCAAATAAATAAAATACAATTTTTAGAATGCAGTGTCTTGCTGTGCAGGAACATGGTTTAATGCACATTGCTTTCATAACATCTAATGCGGTATTTTTTCCACAGCAAGTATAAATATTACTAGCACCTAACGCTTAAATTGCAGGTAAAATCTAGAAAATAGGTTAACTCAAGGAAGGCTTGCTCAATGTTTTACTATCTATAACAAATATTCTGATTTCTTGGTAACTTGTTATAGGTTGACATTCCTTTCCATGTAGAGAATATAACTCACACTGTAGGGCAGTCCCCATTCACAGCAGTAGTTCACCAACACAAAATGAACTTCTTTTATTTGGTATGTATTTTTTATTTTATTTTGTTTGTTTTTTATGTTAATTGATTTTCTTCCCCTTCTTTTACTGTTTGTTTTATTTGATATTAGTTTTTAAGTTTTTAAAGCTGCTTTTTTTTGAGAGAGAAGGAGAAAAATCCATGAAGTTGGGTGGGAAATGGGGTCAAGAGGATCTTGGGGGAGTTAGAGTAGGAAAATAATATGATCAATTATATTGGATAAGAATTTAAAAAATAAAAATTAAGAAATAATGCAAGAGTTGCTCAACACTTAAAAAAACAGCATCTAAACTTGTATTATCTTAGACACACAGAACAGTCAAGCGATTCTGAAGCATCAAGAGCCCGTTTTCTGTCTGCAGGGTGCTCCTACTTTTTTGCCCTCCAGAAAGCAACAGTCTACGAGAAATGATGCTTGATTTATTTAGCTTGTTATCTTTCAAACATAAAAGTTGAAATGGCCAATTCTTTATTAAAAGGCCAATGAAAATTGGAATTATGGAAGAAGCCAGAGTGATGTAGTTGGGAGGAGCTGACTGCCACCTTCATAGCACAAGATCCCCAGGAGTGACTTAAAGAACGTGTATTAGAAGTCACTCTTTGCCAAGGTCCATGTGCAGTCCACATTGTCTGTGCTACCCAGATTTCCTAGCGGCCGTTCATTTACAGTCTTCAGCTATACAGCTAGTTGAGGTGAAATCACTTACAGATTAGAGACCATGAAAGCATTCGAATCATTTTCAAAATTCTATAAAAATCCTCTCCAGCATAGGCTATCATTGGTGTTTTTGATTTTAGCCATGCTGACAGGTGTAAGATGGTATCTCAAAGTTGTTCTGATTTGCATTTCCCTGATCGCTAAGGAGGTTGAACAAGACCTTAAGTGTCTTTTGGCCATTTGAACTTCGTCTGATGAGAATTCTCTTTTCAGTTCAGTACCCCATTTTTTTAAATGGGTTAATTAGAATTTTCACGTTCAGTTTCTTGAGTTCTTTATATATTTTGGAGATCAGACCTTTGTCTGATGCGGGGTTGGTGAAGATCTTCTCCCAGTCTGAAGGTAGCCTTTTTGTCTTAATGACTGTGTCCTTTGCTTTACAGAAGCTTCTCAGTTTCAGGAGCTCCCATTTATTATTCACTGTTGCTCTTGTTGTCTGTGCTATTGGGGTTATACTTAGAGACAGTGTGCCTGTTCTAATGGGAGCTCACCAAATCCAGCTGGACCCGGACTAGATGAGCATGGGATCAAACCAGACTCTCTGTAGTTTACAATGGGCTGATTGAGAAGCCATTGATAAACGCACTGGGACTTGTTTCTACTGTATCTAATGGCTTTTTGGGACCCTAGTCTATTTGAATGTAAAGCTTCCTAGGCCTGGATGTAGCTGGAGGGCCTTGGACTTCCCACAGGGCAGGGTTCCCTGCCCTCTCTTAAGGAGAGAGGGGGAGGGGGGAGAGGGAATGGGAGCGGGAGGGGATTGGTAGGAGAGGAGGAAGTGTAAATTTTTGAATGGAAAAATAAAAAAATCCTATAAAATGAGCTTTTAACAAGAGCACAACAGGAATGTGTTTGTGAGAAGTGAAGTCAAATTTCCTATCTTTTATTATAAACAAGAATCCAAAAATATCATCCATTAAATCACAGTGTCTTAGCAGTGATGAATTAACCTTAACAGCAAGTAGAAATGTCAATAAATGAGACAGATTATTATTTTATTTACCATAAAAGAGAAAATTCAGCTAAATTAGTAAGAAACACTCTAATTTTTTAATTTATTGTGTTTAGGGAATTCAGCACAAAATTCACACAATGAAGTTTACTATAAAGGAGGGGAAGGATAGAAGGTAGGGAGGAAGGATGGAAACAAAGAAACAAGGGGCAGGAGAAAGAAAAGCAGGAGGGCAGGAGGTCATGGACAGGCCTCTCAGCAGGGCTGGCAGTCCAGGCTGGCTTCTCCAGGCAGGTGGTGGCCACAGTGTGAGGCGCAGGTCTGTGCGTGGAGTCATCTCTGCAGCATGGTCTGTCTGTTTTCCCTTCTGCCTCCACATCCTGGCTGACAGCACCTGTTCTACAGCGTTTTCTTGGCAGGAAGCCGAAACGTACGTTTTAACAAACTTCCAGTGCCAACTTTTCTCCTTAAGTTACCGAAGGTAATTGTTTAAATATGTGCAGAGCGAGTGGACAAAACAAACAGCTCTGTGCTGGCGTCGGCGGTGACCCTCGCTACAGCAGGGAGACCCGTGAGTCACACAGCCTCGGAAGCTGGCTTGTTGACAAGGAAAACTTGAAATTGTTTGTAATTGTCTCCAAAAGGCTATAAATCTTCACTACATCCATGCCAGCGTGTCCAGTTTTGTTACCGCGTCCCTTTGTACAGCTATTGAAGTTTGCGGGAGTGGGCACAAAAGCGGGTCTTCTGGTTTAGAACAAATCCTTTTCCCGTCAGGCAGTGCTACGCTGCCCACCTGTTGACTGGAGACCGGCGTTTTCATGCAAGTTTTAAAACTGAGAGTTATTTATAATTTGTCAAAAATAAGCAAGGTACCTACAGCCCATCCATGCATCCTGCTTTATATGGAGACAGAAAGGGAGAAATAAAAGAAAACTGGAACACCTATATGATCTGCTGGAAGGCGGATTGCATACCCTGCTTAGTTATGTTCTCCAGACTCTCAGCTCTTACCAAATATTTATTACTAAAGCATTTACACTCAGTACTGTAAACTTCAGACAAGCCTTCCAGAGGCCCCTTTCCATCAGGATCTGATCCATGGCATTTCAGATTCCGTTTAGTTTTGATGGAGAAGGAAGCAATATAAATTTTGAGTATCTGAGTATGGTGGTGCACTTCTTTAATCCCAGCATTTAGGGGGCAGAGGTAGGCTGGTCTCTGTAAATTAAATGTCAGCCTGGGCTACATAATGAATTTTAGGCATGCTAGGGCTATGTAGTGTGAACCTTAATCTCTCTCTCTCTCTCTCTCTCTCTCTCTCTCTCTCTCTCTCTCTCTCTCTCACACACACACACACACACACACACTTTCATATGGGTGTCTTTCTGGACATATATGTAATGTATACATTTATTATGTATGAAGAAAGCAGAATGACAAAGTCTGTGTCTTGATTAGCTCATATCTGAATGATCTTTCTAAATCCTATAATGATTTAATTTCTTCTAAAATACAGAATTAGAATGTAAGATAACATGGCTGGCTGTGTGACTAAGCATAGCTTCCTGTCAGAATGATGAAGAATGATCGTTAAGTAGCATGAAGGTTACAAATCAAGGGATCTGACGGCTTTGTAAGTTCAATGTGTTTACTTCATAAATTTAAAGTGGGTTAATCAATCAATCATTCATCCCCCATGTTTGAATGAACGCCATGTGCACTAAAATACACTGCATTCCATGACTACTTTTGCAAAAGTTAATGGAACAGCATTAACTGGGTCTGGCTCTGGTGATG